GAGCTTGGAAACAATCCGACTGGTTTTTCGAAGATTCAAGTTCTTAATCTGTATCTGAAGAAAGCTCCCTTCCCCCCGTCTTTCTCGAATGAAGCCGAAATTCTTGAAGTGGTTTACTTTAGCTATTATAATATGCAAAAAATTGCTCCACGTTCGTAAAGATAAAGTTGATTCTATGGGTTGGATAAATCAAGTTAGCCTTACGAAAGCTGTAGTGCAGGTTTTTCTTTCTACGGAAAATATTTTTGGAATTGCCGCTATTGTGTATATCTGATATTGATGCAATATAATTCTTTGATATGTGCTAGTAATTCGGAGACGTTTTTCGACAGGGAAATAACTGTTGCTCATCATATATGACGATAATCTAAGGTAAACAATTTGCACATTTTGGTAAACTTTCTGTTTTAAGTGGCTTCAGATTATCAGATTATGCGATTGTGTGCAACGTATGTGGTACCAGGAAGAATTTTTGCATGGTCAAGTCGGTTACCTTTCTAAATAGTCCACATTTGGTTCCCTCTAAATGAACAATAGTATCCATAGCTTTGGTGAATGTTCTAACATCCTCTCCATCATTGCTCCTGAAGAATTCTTATAACACGTAAAAGAGGAAGAAATTCCAGTTACCCTTTAGCTTTGACTTTCTCCACGGCAGTGTCATAAGTCGTGGCGATTCGCTGATTGACACTGTCTCGAATTGCTGAATAGGCATTTACGTCCTGCAAGATGACAAGGAATTGTTACGTTGACAAGAAACTGATTTCGCTTTTTCGTGTCTATAGGCAAGCGCTGACCGGAACTACTAAGTTTACGAAGCCTTTCAATTAGGTAAAGTTGTGGACGTTTTCAGCATGCAGCTGCATATAAGGGGAAACCGAGGACGGTAACAATCGAAAATTTTGTGGGGCTTCTTTTGGCATGATGCGATTTTTGGCCCAAGCGTAGATTCGGCTTCAAACTTACACAAATCCCAATTTAGGCGGGTGTTTCGTTTTCATTTTTAGAGCTTACTTTGCTCTATCAAATGCTTCATGCCTTTTTCGTTGTTCACAGTCGACGCAGAAAAAACTTTTTGCGACTTTTTTCTTGAGCCAATCGAAAATGTACAGTGTGTCCCAATGTGCCTACTGTTTGGTTGTTAATAACTTCTAGGCATGAGTTCTTTCGAGAAGGTTTTGCACCACTTTTAGTGCTGGCTTCAGCTTAAATTCACAGTATAGAGCGAATCACGGATCCCTCTTCACTACTGTAGGATTACGGTGGGAACTCGCAGCATATGACGCGACTGTTACATAAGCCGTTCGGAAAAATTTTTTCAAAAAATCTGAAAAGTTATGAAACGAGAAGGCATGCTGTTTACTACATAACTTTTCACGCGTTCGCGGAACTTATCAAATGATTTTTAAAAAATTTTTGACGAATATCAAAAATTGGTTGTTACGGTTTATCTG